TGGCTTGTGATCGGCCTGCATTTGGCTTCATTGCATGTGTTTCGTGAGTCTGAAGAAGACTTTATAGATTGGTATCGGACATATGGGCTAATACCAGACTTATGGCCTTGGACTGGACTCAGCTGAGATGTTTTCTCACTGTTCAATTGTTCTTATATATACATCTCTTTCTTATACACACAGGTGTGTCAATGGATTTGTTTCTCTAGTCTACCCAGACTAACACACAGGGTTTGAACTGACAACCTTTGGTTAGTAGCCCAATGCTTTAACTCACTACTTCAACAGAAACTTTTCTTAGCATAGTCATAGTTGCACAACACCTCTGGCTCTCTTTATCACTACTACTAAATGAAGGGCTCTGTGAAACTCTATCACACTAGTAGTGTCAAAGGCAGTTTTATGATGGCCAATTGGCTCATTGTCCTTCATAACAAAAATGATAAGTAGATAAAAGATTGACAGACATAAAATTTACAGCCATGTCCTTGCTGCAGAAGATGTTGTCTCAGAGTCCTTGACTGTTCAAGCTGAAGGCCACTGGTCAGTCCTCTCATTTTGTAAACACTGAGGTTCAACACTTCAAGGGACTTTCATTGGGGTAAGGTAGTGAAGTAGTTAGTTCATTGTGCCAACCTGGCCGATAAATACTTGTGGGGTTAATTGAAGGGCAGAGGGATAAGTGACTCTGTGAGCCTCGCCTTTCTAGTTCTCAGGTTTCTTGCTTTCTGATGGTTGGACCAAGGTGCAGCAACCTTAGCCAGTTCCCTGCTTCAGCTGGCAAAGCTCACTTCCTGCAGGACATCCCCAAGGAGAAGCCACTGGACCTACCCCGATGCAGCCCTGGGTGCTGGAGCAGCCATTTGGAGACCCCGGCCAGCACTGAGATTCTTATATGTTCACTGATTTGGCTTTCCTCCTGCAGTCGGAGTCATAGTGTGTGTTTTGTGAGATGGAGGAGGACTTTGTGGATTGGTGTTGGACATATTGGTTATGTAAAACTCTTCTACATGAGTTTCTGTGGGTTTCTTTCTCTAAAGTACCCAGACTAACACAGGTAGTTTGGGTCTTTTTCTACAGTGACGATTATAAAACAAAACAATAACAGGACAGGCTAACAAATAGCAAGAATTCATTTAAAAAATTTATCTCCTTCCTTCCTCTGCCTTCTCTCCTCCCTTGCTGCAGTGAAAAGTTGGAAAGATGGCATGAAGTGAAAACTTGAGCTATTGACTCCTGAAACATGTTCATGGGGCAGAGGATTTCCACATGCCATTTGAGAACATCATCCAGCTCTTAGCACATTTACCATCAGCTGAACCATCTTTATGAATGGTTTAGGTCCAATGGGGACTTGATCCGGGATTTTCCTTTTGTCGCCTAGTAAGAAGGCTCTGCAGTGTCTCCAAGCATTTGGTCCTAAGAATGAGGAGTGTCTCTCTCTTCCCAGTGCCATTTGAAACCAAAGAGGAAAGGATGATGGGGGTGGGACAGCCAGCAAGCGGAGGAACGTGCCAGTGGATAGGAATCTGCTCCCTGTTCTTTGTTGACTTCCTAAACCTTGCCATGCATTTGCCACATGAAAGTTCTTCTTTAGAACATCTCAGCATTGAGAACAGGAAAGTGGTTTCTCCCCAAGACATACTTAACAAACATATAGAGAACCTGCTATGTTACAGGCACTGGGCTAACCAAGACCCTTTCTTCTCGTCCGAGGACTGTTTATCTATGGCTTTTTTGTCTACCAAGGACAGCGTCCTTGAGTAGTATACAAACCTGTTTGGGCTACCTGCTCTGTGGTTTATCTATACCATGGTTAGTGAGTGAACTGGAAGTTTCTCTCACTAGTCTACTTACTTCACGGTCACCCTCTATGAAACCCCTGTGTCAGAATTGCATGACAAATAGCGAGTCATATAAAAATCATTGTTATTAACTTCACAAAACTCATCTTTTTCAGCCAGATGTTGACATTTTGAAAAGATAGAGATTATTTTAAAACTTTGCAAATAACCCCAGACAACTTAATAGCATGATTTGAGAACACAGATTTAATTGCTTCTTATCCTAATAGCTCACTCAGAAGGACCGACTAGTCAAATTAGGCAGCTGAGGCTACTAGCCTGATGCTGTATACATGTAAATTAACAGTGCAAACATTTAAAAACAGCAGAGGATACTTAGTTTTTCAACCTGGGCGATTGAATCCTAATTCAAAATGGTATTTAGCATGAGAAAGTCATATAATACCGACTGCTCAGGCTATTATCTATCATTATCTTTTAAACCCTGTAATTGGACAAACAGGAAAATATTTATAATAATAAGTTTGTTCAAAATCATCTGTTTTGCTGGACGGAGTCTGGCGGAGGTGAGGGGCACTTTACAGTCGTCTTGAGCTGAAGGCAAAATGGCTTACTTTATTTCCTTTGCATTGTTTGTTAATTTACAGCAACACTACACACCTGGGCAGTGTATAGCACCTTACCAAAATTACCGAATTGTGTGTGGAGGGGAAATCCCAGTCAAATCTACTGCATTCGAAGAGTGGGCAGTCTCTATCTTATTTGCTGCAAGGCAGGGCCACCGCCGAACCTACCCTATTCCCCTCCTGCGGTGCAGACATAACTATGCTTAACACATAACTCTTGAGCGAACAATTTTCCTTCTGTAATTTCCATTAGAGGTACCATTTAGTTGGCCCATTTATCTTGTCGCCGGCTTTCTTTCTCAGCGATCTTTTGGTGGCTTTGCTCATTATACCACAGCTTTCCACAGAGGAGGCTGTGCAGGGCTCCTTCCACACAAGGCTCCTTCTAAGAGACTTAAATGGAGAAGCAACACATGCTATTATCGTCCTATTTTTAGTTTTCATTCTCGATAAAACAAGAGATCAGCATTTCCATGATGGGGGCAGCCTTCAGGGAAGTGTCATGTTGCTTCATTATCTTTCGACCGGGCTGCGGCCGCCCCTCTAATGCAGATGGAATGAGGAGAGCGGCAAAAATAAAGATGAAAACACAGTGAGCTGACCAGCGTATGGCTGCTGATTGGGGCCCACTGAGTGGCTCTCCTAGAATGTCCCTTTGTATTTCGTGGGGCCTGGTTAGGAAAGCCCCCAGATGAAAAGCAGACATAAATTCACCTCATAATGAGATTAGTGGCAGGCAAAATCAATGTCGTGCAGGCCCATTACAGGCGGGCCTGGGAAATGATCATTTCCTTTGCAACAGGGGAGCTGGTCTTGCAACCGGCTGAAATCCATCGGGGTCTGTTTTGCCCTGTGGATATTGTTCATCTTCCTGTCTTTAATAGCAGGTTGAAGGAGGCGCAGAAATGAATTGTGGGTCTTAAAGACAGTTACCAAAATGAGTTACAGGGGGTTCTGTTAATGGTCATTAATTATGTTCCCCAGACTCCCCTTTTAAGAAGGCTCGTGCAAGTCCCCACCCGTTCTAAAGGGGAGCCCTGCTGTGGTGGAGCTGTTTGCTGCTGGGACCTCCGGGGTCCTCTCACTCCAGCCTGAAGGATCAAAGCAGAATAGACTTGCTATTGTATTTGGGGGTATTTTTCTTTTTAATCTTTACTGCAACTCTACTACTTAAAACCACTGGGGAAAGAAAGTATCAATATACTAAAGGGGCTTAAGAAAGTGCTCAGATCAGGTGAAACCACGTGGTCTCAGAGTAGAACAAAGACCTGGAGCATGGAGTCTGAGGACAAGGGAGTCCCTTGGCTTTCAGCAGAAGGCAATCTGGCCCTGGAGCACAATGCCCTTCTCTTTTGAGAAACGCTGATAGGATCTCCTCCGGGATCCTTCCTGCAGAACCCGGTGCAAGTTCATGGCTGCTCTATCCTTCGTGGCCAGGGGCGTTTAATCAAAGCCTTCTGTGGAATAATCGCCCCGTTTCCCGTGCCACCAAGCCAGTTAAGAGGTCCTTTCACAAAGGGTGGGGGCACAGGCTCGGCCTTTAGGAGAGCTGGGTGATGGTGCATGGAAGGCTCAGACCATGCACTGTAACCCTACTGTCCACAGGTTCCCTCCTCCTCTGAGGCCCTGCAGCTCCCGAGCGGCTTATTGACTCTTGCCCCCAACTCGGGCGTTTTGACGGGACTGTTTTTCCTGGGCTGCGAAGCTTCCATAGCCCCCTCTTGCGTTCCCAGGTGCACTCAACAGTTGGCAATATGGTTCACAAACACTGTTTCACCTAACAAAGCATTTATTTCTTTTTTCCTTTTCTGCAGCTGGGAAGGTGCCTTGGCGGTGTCAGCCTGCGCACTGAGCTGCTAACCGCAAGGTGTACTGTTCGAAGCCCCCAGCCATTCCGGGGGAGAAAGATGAGACTCTTCCGAAGCAAGTGTGAAAGTGTCTCCGATGCTCAAGGGCGCGCATCTCTGTGGTCCTGCAAGGCTAGCCCGAGTCGCAATGGTCTCCGTGGCGGTGAGTTTGTGTCAGTGTTTTATAGCTGGCTCTTCTCTCTTCCACTTGAATTAATCCTGGCCATCACATCCAGCTCCTTTAGAGGAGAAATTCTTATTTGGCTGGATTTGGTGAGCTTTTTCTTTGAACTTACCCTTTCTTATCGCCTGAATTGTGTTTCCACTTGTGTGTGTTCCACGTGTCTACGCTGAAAATGTCCAGGAAGGCCCAGCTAAGCCAGTCTCCTCTCACACTCAAGGTGTTCTCTGCTCCATGGTAACCATCTTCTCTTCAGATACAATAGTGCAAGGGAAGCTGGGCTGGTTTTCTTGTACGTGGCTGGGCTCTATAGTTACTGCAATCTCTCACAATATGTTTAATTTCCAGCTTGTCTTACCTGTGTTGATCATTTTAATCGCAAACAAGTGAACTGCATCCACTTTGTCAAGTACCCCGTCTACTGGGAACATGTTAATGTTTACCTACTGGCCTTTCCATGTGTTAAACTGGCAGAGTTAATGTTAAAATCTCATGAAGCTTTAATCTCCCTGAAGGAATCTTTCGAATTGTATTTGCTTACCTCATATAAATGAACTTGTTCTTGGGTCACGGCAAAGATCAATAACATGTTGTGTTGCACTAGCTTATCGATGAGTTGTCCGATCGTTGGATATTCCTAAAAATCAACATAGAGATTTGAAGTAGCATTTTAACAAAAGGATATAAAACAAGGGAAGATGTTTTACCAAGCTATCTTTACTGGGTTTGCCATTTCAAGCTCCGATCTAAGTATGCAAATACCCAGTATCATCCACTTAGCTGATTCAGTAATCGTTTGTTAAATTGCGTCCATCCCAGTAGAGTTTTAACTGTGAGAGACAGCGGCTGTGAATATTATGTACTATGCTCTGCCACTTCTCGACAGATCATTGGGGATGTATCTGAAGACTATGGTGGATCGTGATTTTCTAGAGTAGAGCAATGCTCCTTTAAGTGCCCCTTGCCAGCGTGCTAGCGATGTGACAGTGAGGGAGGGGCACGTAGGCGATGATGGATGTGATCAAGGGAACACGGGTGGCTCTGAAATTATTTGTGGAATTGGATGTGGTGGGCTGAAGGTTGAGGAGGGGACAACTGCTGGGAACGACATTTGAGACATTCTTTGTTCCGGTTCTTGGGTTTGGTTTGATTGCCTCTTTGATGTCACACGCTGTAAAAATATTACGGGGCAATTGAGAATATGTTGCAATACTCCTGTCTCATGGACACATTCATTCTCTGGTGACACGAGCACTTTACCAAGAAAAAAAAAAAGAAAGGAGTCATGCCCATCAATGACCACATTTGAAGATGACCTCTACTCTCTGGGGCTGGAAAGCAGAGGGGTGTCGCCGGTCAGACCCACATATGTATCATGAACAGAGAGGACTTCAAAAGAAGTCCCACATGGCAATGAATGAAGGCTATGCCATTTGTATCTGAATGCCAGCAGAGTGCAGAAACACTGACAGAGAAGCCAAACTGTATGTGGGTGTGGTATGATGACAAATGCTCAGCACGTCTGGAGCATTCCTATCTGAAGTCTTCCTAAGATACTAGATGCAAATTGAGGAAAATGTGTAATCTTGCTCTGAAAAACTCAGGTCATTTACCCAACTGCAAGCCTGGTTAATAGATGCCTTCGGTCACATTTGGCATTTTAATCATAGAGATGCCAGGTCATATCAGTTTTCCTGAGCCTGGCATTTCCCATCCCCCTTGCTTTTCAACAAGCCAAACATTCAGCACCCTTCCTCCGCCAGTATCCTGACTTTGGGGACTCTCAGATGGGGCTTGGGGGAGAACAGATGGAGCTCACTCTACTGTCCGTTCCACACCCAAGCATCTTTGAACAGTTAAAGCGTCCCTGGGGTCACCTGTGTCAGAGCAGATCCAAACTTCTCACACAGCCCCACCACCCACCCACCCTCCTGTGGGGATGGGCAGAGCAGCAAGGGTCATTCTACTTTACATTGCAGCAACTGCTGCTTTGCTGGCCTATGGGCAGCCCTGGCAACAGGAGAGAGGGCAGGTTACCTACCAGGACGGTTGACATGGAGTACTCATTTTTGCTGTCCAAGTGACAGAGCCCATCATGAGGGATGACAATGCCTGCCAGTTTGCTGTCCATCCCAAAATGAGAGTCTGCATCGCTCACAAAGACCAGGAGGTGGAGAGAGTCGTTCCGCCAGCCGATTTTTTCCTGCCGTGAGAATGAAACCTTTAGGGGGTAATTGTTACAGGCGGGCATTCATGGAGTGTGGGTTATAATTATGTTTGGGCATATTCAGATTCTTTTTTTTTTTTTTTTACATAGTGCTGGCCTCTTTTCTAGTACTTTGCATCTACTGCAAGTTGCTAGTGTTAATATATTGAAAACATGAAATTCTATGACATTTACTTTTCCTGCATAACATTTTCAGATGATTTATGTTTCTGCAAAAGTAGTTACAGTACAATCAGTATTCAACTGATCTTGACTTTTATAGAGTTAATTACTTTTACTGTCCAGCTCCAATTCACTAGAGAATTGAGGGGAGGAATTGGTGGGAGGTCAAAAATCCTCGCAAATCCAAGCTGAAGTAAAGCTTGTCAAAATGCAGTACAAAATGGGCTCAAAGTAAGGCCATTTCATGAAAATGTCATGCAACATTCGAGCCCACGTATTTCTCTCTCTACTGATGTTAGCCATAAAAAGCATAAGCATAACTGTAACAATAAGACTTCCTTATCAAACATGGCCCCAAAGCGCTATGCATGAAGATTGATTACCATCTGCATCTTAGCAGAGCAGTCCCCTTTCATTCTTAGTGCGGGACCGAGCTGGGTGGAAACTCCTCTTGGAGGTACCACTTTACCTCATCTTTACCTCCTCTCATTCCTCTGTCCTCACATTTTTGAGAGCTTCAGCCTTGCTCGGTGTTTCTGATGGTTTCCATGAGGGGTCTTTGTCAGAAGATGGGAGCATTACTTTCATGGATATGTGTCTAATTTTCAAATAGAAGTAGCACTCTTAATTTTGTTGAGACAGGATATCTTCAGAGGCTTATTTTAGTTGTTCAAAAGAATTAAGGCCATCTAAAATTTTGTTTTTGTGAATGTTTGTTTTGGGGACTTCTTCTTCTTCTTCTTTTTTAATCTTATCACATTCCATACATCCGTCCATTGTGTGTCAAGCACATTTGTACATCTGTTGCCATTATCATTCTCAAAACATTTTCTTTCTACTTGGGCTTTTATTTCCAAAGTGATTGATTCCAAAATTAATATGATTTCAATCTCAGGAAATTAGTCATACGTGACTATTGTTTCCACAATTTCCCCCCCCTCAAAGTTGCTGCCATTTTCTGTGACTACTTAAATTTTAGGCAGAATACAGCAATCCTCTTTTCTAGACAATCAGAAGATGTTACAAAATGTTGTACTTTAAGAAGTGTCCAATGCAGAGATTTGGCTGCTAGATAAGAGAGAGTCAACTTTGTCAAAGCAGACTTACCAGTAAGAGATGGGTGTTATGCGAACTGACTGAACACGACTCCCCCGCATACCTGGCACACGGCAGCTTGCATAATTGCATCAAATCCACCTTCAGGTGTGTCAATATTAGCAGAAATTTTCTGATTCCTCACAATTTCATTGAATCTTTCAGCATCATTCGTCAATGGTAAAATATGCTTGAATCCAAATGTGGGTAAACAGAAGTATGGAATACTACTGCAAAATAAAAACATTTTTAAAAGTTGATCAAATATACAGCACTCAGTCGATAGATCTGGCAGCTGAGCCACATTTCTTAGAATGAAGATTAATTTTTCTAAAGTGGCTGAGTTTATAATTTTGTCATGAATCTCACTGTGGTTGTTACCTTCCCCTATCCAAGCCTTCCAAATTGACTGGATCAGCTAATATTTAGGGCTTATTGAATGTCCTGCATTGATTCACACATACGCATTATAGAATCAGGCAGTCAGACTGTTCATTTTGTGTGTGTGCGTTACAACCATTTTGTTGTCTCCAAACAAAATCCACTCTTACCTCTACATGATAGCAATTCCATTGTATCCCAATGTCTTACACCAAACCAAACTCACTGCCATGATTCTGGCTCATGCCCACCAGATAGACCAGGGCACAGCTGCCTCCCGTCAGTCTCTCAGACTATAAGTCTGCATGGGCGTAGCAGACCTCGTCTTCACCCACAGAGCTGCTGGTGGTTCCAAATAATTGGCCTTGTGGTTAGCAGCTCAGCATATGTCACCAGGGCTCCTTTTTCCAAGGTCTCAAGCAATCACCAAGTATGAGTCACCTGTGGTAAGACCTACAGACAAACTGTGTCCTCCTGTATTCTCAGTCCTGCCTTTCCAGCGCCCCCAAATCAGGTCAGTACTCTGGGTTCTAGGGCCTAACTGTACTGTGGGGTGAATAGCCTGCTGTGGGCCAAGAAGCTGTCTTCCAGAGTTCCTGGTGTAGACGAGTGAGTGCCTCCAGTGCGGCGTCAGCTTGCTGAAACGGTTCGACGGGTACTCCATCAATTCCTAATGTTGGCTGACGCATTCCGTGCAGCTTGAACTAATTCCGTCAGCACCATTGGTTCCTGCTCACAGGCCACCTCCTGAAATGGTGCACGGCCGACTAGTTCTTTTTGTTACAGTGTCGGTGTGAATTCTTCCCATCTTCTTTAGGTCCTTCCTGTATCATTCCAGATGGAAAAAAAAATACAAATCCATGTGATGATCTTTGACCTCCCACCAATTCCTCCCCTCAATTCTCTAGTGAATCGGAGCTGGACATGAGTCTACCCCGCCTGAATTTTGAGGACATCTCAAGAACAGATTTGACACATCGATCAGTAATGAGAGAGATCTGATGAGCTGTGGGAGGACATCAAGATGACCGGGCATGGAAAAAAGCAAAATGTCATTAAAAAGATAGGAAAGAGAAAGACTGATGAAAGTGGCTGTCAGAAGAGACTCTGAAACTGGCTCTTAATTGTGGAGCAGCTAAAGCCAGTGGGAGAAGGGAGGAAGCTGAGGAGTGAACAGAAAATCCCCAAGGGCATTTCCAGAAAACAAAGCCAACTCTTTTCATGCCGTGCCAAGACCGAGCACTAGAAAACCTGACGGGAAGAACGTGGTCAGCATCCCTGAAACGGAAAGCATGCAAGAAAAAAGGCAAGCTTTGAGCTGTGATTTTGAAAGGTTCTACAGGCAAAGTATTGAATGATGCAAGAAACCACAAGAGAGAAGATGGGAACTTGTTAGAAATACAAAATCTGCAGCCTCGCCTGAGACCCACTGGATAAGAGCACTGGGCGTGAGGCACAGAAAAGTCCTCAGAGTGATTCTGAGGCAGCCTAGAGATTATGGGCCAGCGGTGTAGGGTCGCCGTGAGTCAGAATTGACTTGATGCGAGGGAGTTTGATTTGGGTTTGGTGTAGAAGGACAACACAAGGACAGAAAGGAGTGGCTTCTCTTGGGAAGTGCTGCCCGGGGAGGGCCAGCAGACTCTCCTAAATGCACAGGCGGGGCCTGAGCCTTGCAGGTTCACTGGCCTGTCTTGTTAGCAAGTGAAGAACAGTGCGTCTTTAAGGCTTGGGCAGTTGTCTTTCCATAAATGGCCTTACAGGGAAAGTAAGTCATCATTTGTTGTGTCTTCGGCTAGGAAAGTAAGTCATCATTTGTTGTGTCTTTGGCTGCATCACAAGGGCAGCCTGAGGACCCCTGTGCAGAGTGGCACAGCCCTGGAAGTCCCACGAGGGTCACTTCTAGAACGGATGCTCTTGGGCCCAACTGGCCTCTCCCTGTCTTTGCATTGTGTCATATATTTTACCAATGTTTCCTCAGCTAATACAAGCTGGGGCTCATTGGTGGTCAGTAAAGCTGGAAACCTTGATACTCATGGTTCAGGGCCAGGAGTGGCTGGTAGGTGCCTCTGGGCTGCCTTAACCTTTCCTGCCTCTTCCCTCGTCAGCTGCGTCCATTCAGGTTGGTGGACCCCACACTAAGTCTGGGTCGGTTGCTTCCACGTCCTGTTGCGTAGTTCCTTTCTTGTTCCTTCTGTTTCACACATTTTACTCCCTTGCCTCAAGTTTCATGGAAACTCTGAAGTGCTGACCACAGATAGTACCTCCCAAGTTATGGCTGTGGTGGAGATTGAATGAGATAAAGCATGCAAAGCACACAGCACAAATGATTTTTCTAAGTAAGCCATTTCTTACGTAACCACGTCATCCAGCGTGTAGCCCAGATCCAAAGACAGAACATGGCTTTAGCTATGGGTTCGAACATGGCAATGACTGTGAGGGTGACTCAGGACCAGGCAGTGTTTTGTTCTGTTGTACACGACTCAATAGCATCCAACAACAACAATAACAATATCTAGAGTCCTGTATTTTTCCACAATTAAACAAGTAATTTAGGATGTTGCATAGGAGGGGAAAGAACCAACAGATTACAATGGTTGTAAGATGTAGCATAGATGATTATCCTGTTGTGGAAAATGTATTTCTAAAATCTTTATGCAGTTAAGTCATCGAGTGATCCCGCAACATAACATTTTGACAAAGGATTCTGTGTCTTTCCCTAGGCAACTTCCTTGTCGGGTCACCTGTGGTACACACCGACACATTCTCTGATGGAGTTTGTACTTGTGACCATTTCTAGTATTAGGGTATAGGACTGTTATTGACAAGACAAAACTGTACCAGTTGATTAGTGAAGACTATGGACATGATTGTCTTTTTAATTTGCAGGTTATTCCTAATATGGTTGCCCAGTTGTCGATTTGCTTACTGACCTTTTGTATTTTTTCTTATTTAAATTGTCAGCTTATACCGTTTGCTTTGTTTCTTATTAGAGTGCTTTTCATTTTCTAATTTTAAGAATGCAAGAACTCAGTCTCTTAAGGAGATTCGCCTTTCCTCTTCGTCATTTGCCTTTTAATTTTATGATGGTTTGAGTATATACCATAACTTTTTTTATGTTGTTAAATCTTTGCCACCCTCAAATAGGATATGCATTTAAAAGAGTAAAATGGAGAAGGTATCTAGGTTTTGAATACATGGTTAACCTGTGAAGCGAGTGATTTAATATTCATCCTACTTGTCCCTACGGTGTTTGAAGTAACCAGGCCTGGCTAGAATCACATTAGCTCTGGAGTACAAAGACTGAAACGTTACGCAGCTTTGGGCAAGTTCCCTAACCACTGGGCATCAGTGCACTCATCTTTAGAATGAAAAATTTTATAGCTGCTTCACAAAGTTCTTGTGAGGCATTTATGACAATAAAAAGGATGAAATTGTCAGTGTGCTAATATCCCTGGTACTTACTTAATTATACCTAAAACTTGTTCTTCAATTTGGAGGGGGCGGGGTCTGTTCACAAAAGACCAAAATGACATTTGTGCAATTTCTGCATCCAACCAACCATCAGCCCTATCGACTCAAAGTGCGTTTTCATCTTTGTCCAATTAGAATAGTTTGCACTATACAGCTTCCTAGAACCCTATGCTTCTGGGAAACAGAATGATAGCCCAATGTCACTCACTGAACAGAGGCATGTGATAAGGCACCATGTAGCTAAAAGCAGAATGTCAGAGCTGGGTCACACCAGGCACGTTTGGATGGAGACTGCGAGAGTCCTTGTCAGAAGTCTTCCTCCATCAATGGTCCGCTGTGGTGGTGACTTGCTTAGCTGAGCAACTGGAGGGAGTGGGTATTTACCACTTGATTTTGAGTCCTTAGACAACAATGACTGCATCTCAAATGCAGACAAATTAAGGAACACAATGTAGAAAAGTATGATTACATTTTTTGGGGGGTATAATCTTATATGAATATTCTTAAAATAAAGACCCTAATGGTGTACACTAACATGTTGACATTATTTTGGGCGGGGGCAAGAAATCATTTCCGCATTCTTTTTGGTTGTTGTGTACTTTCATACTCGCTGTAGTTAAGGCGCTGGGCTGCTACCTGTGGGTTAATTTGAACCCACAAAAAGGGAGAACGATGAGGCAATCTACTTCTGTAAAGATCTACAAACTCAGAAACCCTAAGGAGACACTCGGTTGTGTTTTGTAGAGATGCTACGAGTCAGAATGTATTCTATAGCAGTAGGTCTGTATTACCTTTACAAACTATGTGCAGTGTACTCATATGTGTTTTTGTATGTGTACATGTAGCAAATCCTTTGAGATGTTTCATGGCTTAATTCCTTCATTCTCATAAACCAATGATGAATTCTTCACTGTCCGTGTCAAATTAAAAGAAGCTCATACAACATATATGGAATTATGTCTAAAACATCCCTCCAATTGTTTGATAGAGATGATCAAGAGCAATGTAGCTGAAAGGAATTACTGAAACCCAAATGAAGGCTGAACATGGTAGTGGGATAGAGGAAAGTAAAAGGAAATAGAGGAAAGAGCTAGGAGGCAAAGGGCATTTATAGAGGCCTAAATACAGGCATGTACATATGTAAATATATTTATATATCATGATAGGGAAGTAGATCTGTGTACATATCTGTCAAGTATTAAGGTAGCAGACAGACATTGGGCCTCTACTCAAGTACTCCCTCAACGCAAGAACACTTTGTTCTAATAACCCAGCATTCTGTGATGCTCACCTTCCTGACATGATCGCTGAAGACAAATGTGTGCATAAGCAAATGTGGTGAAGAAAGCTGATGGTGCTGAGCTTTCAAAAGATATAG